ACTTCGGTTTTACGTCGTTTTTGCTCGACCAGATTTGCTCGTCGAACAAAACCGTCCAACAAAAACGCAGTCTGTGAGGCCCTTAGACTAAGCAGGAAGTCGCGTTGAAATGTGCTTATGACATCATAACTTATAATACGTTATGACGTCGCACATGCACAGCATATCTATACAGGGTGAGTTTTTTTCGATATTTAGTATGGGGATCTCGGAAACTATAGCAGATACGAAAAAGTTCAAATTAGCAAAGAATTGCAGTTTTGTAAGCTCAACTCAAAACCAATTTTAATTTTCCAAAATCTGGCAACTGTCAATAGATATCTCAAAAAACTGATTTTTGGTGATTTCTTACTCCTAGTTCAGCAAATATTAATTTGGGAAGAAAATGTTAAATACAAAAGTATTAGGAAATTTAATTCTCAATAAAATGACATAAACGGTTTTTTGTCGGACCTGTCATTTTTCACATGTGACATAAACTTATATTTTTTAAAAATGAAAACCATGCCTAATTTTATCCATATTAAATATAGAATTTTATTACCATTCTAATGGTATAGCATATGATGGGGTTATTTCTGAAAATAAAGTTTTCGTGGGCATTTTTGTGTTTTTTTTTTATGATTCACCTTTCACTTCAACGTAGTCTCAGGGCTGGGACTCTGTAACGGATAGACATCGTTATCCCGATCGCTATGGCACTTGCCGTCTTCTTCTCTTTTATCGAAATCAATAGAGAGGGAACGTCCATAGAGATAGAGAAAATATCTCTATTCGTTACAGAGTCCCCCTACCTACAGGTTACCTATGGGAAAAATAATAGTTATTTATGTCATAAGTCCAAGAAGAAGGTCTTTTTGTGCTCAGCTCAACGTTTGGATTGTACAATTGAGTGAATCACACAAATGGACTTATGACATAAATAACTATTATTTTTCCATAGGTAACCAAAGCTGGGACTCTGTAAGGAATGGAGATATTTTCTCTATCTCTATTGACGTTCCCTCTTTCCTCTCTATTGATTTTGATAAAAGAGAAGAAGACGGCAAGTGCCATAGCAATAGGGATAACAATCTCTATCCGTTACAAAGTCCCAGCCCAGACTACGTTAAAATGAAAGGTGAATCATAAAAAAAAAACACAAAAATGCCCACAAAAACTTTACTTTTAGAAATAACCCTATCATATGCTCTACCATTAGAATGGTTATAAAATTCTCTATTTAATGAAGATAAAATTAGGTATGGTTTTCATTTAAAAAAACATAAGTTTATGTCACATGTCAAAAGTGACAGGTTCGACAAAAAAATATTTATGTCATTTTATTGAGAATAAAATTTCTTGATACTTTTGTATTTAACATTTTCTCCCAAAATTAATATTTGCTGAACTACGAGCGTTTCAAGAAATCGCCAAAAATCTTTTTGAGATATCTGTTGACAGCTGCCAAATTTTAGAAAACTGAAATTGGTTTTGAGTTGAGCTTACAGAACTGCAATTCTTTGCTAATTTAAACTTTTTCGTATCTGCTATAGTTTCCGAGATCCCCATACTAAACATCGAAAAAACCTCACCCTTTACTCTGTAAGTATGTATACAAAACTTATTATTTGTATAACTTTCGGAATAATCGTATTTGGACAAAATAAAAGAACACATGCAAGTACCATTGAAATTGCTTTACGTTTACGACATATGCACCAAGATCTCATCCCAATCAAGCTTCTTATTCGACTGCCAGATCCAAAATTTACTAATATTATCAAGTGGCTTGATGCTGAGGAGCCAGGGAAACTCAAAAAGATATTCGTGTTTGTAAGCGCGAGTATCGAGCGTACGGCAATCAGACTGATTTTCGTATTACCGGACGCTTGATACATGCCGAGGTCGAGTATCCAGAATGCGGGTACTGGACGCTCGATACAAAAATGCGTCCGGGGGCTGGCCTCCTTGCGTAGCCGTGGTTTCGTCACAGAATATCGTCGACGGCAAGGATACGTACTTACGCATCTGTATTAGGTGATCTGTGATAGCTTTTTTGAACTCTGAGTTTGCTCCATTATCTGATGTGTTTTTTTGAGGTATTCCATGATCACTAAAATATTTCAATAATTGTGATGTTATCTCTACAGCTGTTTACAGCCGTATTTACAGGAGACTCAGGAGAGGCTTGACCGAATTTTGAAAAGCTATTAATAATGGTCAGAAATTTCTGGTCATTTGATTATGTGTCAATGTAAATATGTTCGAAAGTTCGACGGGTTTCGGACCAATGGGTGTTGGTTTAAATATCATTTGTTCTGAGGATGGTAGCTCAGATGAACTGTCAATGCGACACGGTATTCCCCAGGGAAAACCTACGACATGTGAAGGAGTGGTGCGACGCCAATTTACTTTGTTTCAATTTATTGTCACGGGGCAGCTAGGGTCACCCATGGCTAAGTCGCTAATGTCCGTATATTACTCGCTTGTGGAGTCCCATTTGAGATATTGGATTGCATGTTGGAGTTTTTGTAGCCAACTACTTTTTATTCTGGGTTTGTCCTACAGAAGAGGCCGCTTAGGTACTTATGCAAATTGAAGGCTAGGGACCATTGTAGGTCATTGTTTGTTCAGGAAGGAATCCTTACATTGATTGCCATGTATTTTTATTTTGGAGACTGTCTCCTTGGTCAGGGCCGGATTTAGGCACAGGCAACCGAGGCAACCGCCTAGGGCGCCACGATCAGGGGCGCCAAATTGCAAACAAATTTATTTCGAGTGAACAAGTTAATTAAAAAAAGAATGTTCTATCTATATCAGAAGGATGATAGGGAGATAATAAAAGATCCAACGACATTGTCCGGTAATAGTTAATTTATGTATCACCACTGCCACCTGTCACCGCTCATCAAGGCACTTTCGATCCTTTCTAAGGTGCGTACGATAAGTCCAACTACTGACATTTTTTACCCTGACCCGTCATTAATGTCGCAATTTTTTACAAATGCGCTGGCTTTCGTGCATTTAAACGTTTTGAGTAGGGCTTGAGCACTTCAGGTGCAACAAACACTTTTCGAAAGGAATAAGCGCGTATCGCCACCTGTTCCGGAGCTCCTCCTAGGTGTGAAAGAAATACAACTTTTGTCTCAAAACAGATTGAATGATTATAGGTGTGTTCTCACAGGAATCACAAACCAGTCAGAGCGTTTTTGATAGGCACAAATATCCAACAACCAGTTTTATGACTATTTTCAACCAATGAACTTCCCTCTGACTGGTTTGTGATTTCTGTTAGAATAAACCTATCAACGAACTCATCTCTGACTTTGCAAGACGTAAAACCAGACTGGTTCATTTTTAGTGTTGATAATTTTATTAGTTTTGGAATACTATTTTTGTGTTCAGTTAATTTGAAAAATACATGTCTACAGTATAGTATAGATCCTCACAGACATCACATATACATACCAGAGCGAATTTCATTGGTTGTAAACTATCAGAAAACTGGTTTCTGGCGATTTGCACCAATCAAAAACACTCCGACTGGTTTGTGATTTCTGAGAACAGACCTCATGTAATAAGTAAACGCATGATATACCCTTCTAGAAAAATGAAGTTACTTTTATTGTCTTATTCTCCTACTCTCTAAACGATAGCCTCAAATTAATTGTTTATCATGATCTTTAACCATTTTGACAATAAAATTTGAGAAGGGGGCGCCAGAATTGAACTTTGCCTCGGCATATAATACCTATTGAACCGGCCCTGTGACCTTGGTGCTCAAAAAATATAGAAATTTCATGAATGCCAACATTCACAACACACGTTATGGACATAATTTACGATTACCAATACCTAGGAGCAATGTTACCAAAAACTCTTTAATGTATGAAAGTTTAAAGATTTACAATCATATGTGCCAGATGAGTGGAAGGGTCTCCATGATCTCAAGAGTTTTGTAAAATGGGTAAAGTCCGTTTAAAAGTTGAAGCCATACTATAGTTTAGAAGAGTTCTATCAGGATGTTTTTTAGTCGTTGATCTTGAGCTTATATGTTTGGTTAATGTTTATGTTTGTTTTGTTTAACTATGTGTTGAGATTTTCAAAAAAGTGTGGTAATGTTATCTAATTGATTTAGTAATTTTATCTAATTGAAATAGTAATAGTATTATGTAGTATATTTGAACAATTGACTAGCCCTAAGATTTAAAATTTATATAATTTTATATTTTTTAGACTTTTTCAATGAGTTTTTCTTTAGACTATAAAGCGTTTTTTGATGTGATTTGATTCGATTTTATTTGATTTGACTCACTGGATGGGACATCCGGGTTTTTTAGAGGTTTAAAAATTATAATGACTTCAAGCTGAAGAGTTAATAATAATCACATTTGAAATAATAATCATCTTGTACACATTTATTTTTCAAGTGCCATAACCCTTGTTTCTACGAATTCAAAAAATTGTAGTTTTTTAAACTTAAGCCTTAAAATTTGTTGATTTTAAATCTGAAAATAAAACAAAAGGCAAATTTTGTCAACCATTTTTTCTATTGTGAGTCAGATTTTATGTTGTTGTGGTTCTTATGTGAAAGCGAATAAAAATGAGGATATAAAGCTGTAGTTCAATTGTAGACTTCTAATGGGGCTTGAAAAAAGGTTATTTCGGTCACCAAGGCCTAGGGCTTCTTTTCCCAGATAATCGGCTTTGAAGGTTTTCCAAAATTTGACATTTCGACAATTACAGGTCGTAAACCTCAATGAGAAAAATCTCGAAAATGCTTTTCCAGTGGATTTCACCCTGCCCGATTTTTTAAAACTGCCAACACTATTTCACTTGAATACTTATATTACAATCCCGCTTAATTGTACTTTTACAATTACAGAATTTACTGGTTGTCGTGGATTTCTGTGAATTAATATAATTAATTTAAAAAAAAGAAGTTTTAATTATGACATTTCATTTTATTCCATACAAATACCTAATCAATAAAAACAATATTTACATATTAGCACAACCTAAAAATGGTAAGAGATAGCTGGGGAAGAGTAGCTTAATTTAGCTACAGCTGGAGCGGCTGAGTAAGCAATAGGAGATGCATGGGCAGCATAGGCAACTGGAGCTGAGTGAGAAGCATAAGCAATTGGAGCTGAGTGAGCAGCAACAGCAATTGGAGCTGAATGGGCAGCATAGGCAATCGGCGCTGAGTGGGCAGCATAGGCAATTGGAGATACTGCTTGAGAATAAGCAGCTGGTGCATGGTAAGCTACTGGAGCAGCTACTTTAGCGACGGTTTTTACAGCTAAAGCGGCTGGTTCTTTGCGGACTACTGCGTTGAATCCATTGATTGGGTCAGCAGTGTAGTCGACAGTTCTTCTGGAGCCTATAGACAAATAAATTAACAACAAAAATCACATAGCTATAATTATATTACCATCAGGTTCAACAAGTGAGTAACTTCCTTGGACGACATCGCCGTCTCTGGTTTCGCTCTGACTCTTGCTGTCCCCAGTAAGTGCGTCTTGGATGTCGTAACCGTAGCTGTATTGTGGATGAGGGTCGTAGTCTTCAGCTTTAGCTACTACAGCTTTAGCTACGGGAGCGGCGTAAGCTAGTTGAACTGGAGCAGCGGCGTAAGCTACGGAGGATGCTGGCAACACACCTGCGTTTGCGTAGGCGAGAAGGGTAGCGAAAGCGATAAACTGGAAAAATAAAAATCAGATTTTTAGTTTATCAAGAGATACAAGGGGATAGTGAAGAAGTTCTACGATATATTCTTATTAGGATGTGCCTCAGATGTTTCTGATTTGAAGGAGTAGAGAAGTTTATGACATTTTGAAGGCTAATGTGCTAATAGACGGAGTATTTTGACTTGAAATATTCTACAGTCAATTCATGAGAGCGCATATATCTGGTGGTTATGACTATGGAAAAATGTACAACAAAAATGGAAGGAAAGTAACTGAAGAAGTACCTATAGTCGGAATATTCAAATAAACGACACAGATACCTACTTATTAAACAACTTTTAAATAGAGAAGAGTAGAATTAGGATTGTTCAAGTTACTTAGCGACGGAGCTGAAAAATAGAAATGAAAATGCATCAACCAAATTACTAATATTACATAAAATGTTCAGAAGGAAGGCGTATTCGCATAATGGTTAGCGATAGTAGACAACTAAACTGTTTAAATTATGGGCTACAAAAGTAGAGGAAATAGGTAGAATGAAGGGAGTAAGTCGAATAAGAGAATTGATAGAAACAAAAAATAGTAGAAAAATTAAAAATTTTGAATGTTTTTGAAAGCAACCCCTAGCTAAATAAATTGGTTATAAATAATTCCATACTAACGAAATTCATTGAATAAAAAATAATTTTTCAAAAACTCAAATCCAAACTTACCCTGAATGCCATGGTTATTTTGTCGTTTGTTAGTTTACAAAGTCGAAACTGTAACTGATAACTGATGCTGTCAGAAATGATCTTATATACTAAAAAAAATTGCGGCGAGAAATATGGAGCAAAAACCGGTAGACCGTTCAAAATTCGTGAATGAGTAGTTGTGTCACAAGCTAAACAAGAACCAAGAACAAGAGGCATTTTAACTGTCAAGGCCGGCGCCCGGTGCGTAAACCAATTATTTTCGTTGAAACCCAAAAGTTCACCTGATGCATTATCTTTCTGCATAATGTTTGTGTATATGTAATAATTGAAAAAGAAATAATTGGATTCGATGAAATTTGGAATTCAAAACAGGGGTGGAGAATTATTCAACTTGCATTTTAGATTTATAATTTCAACGCTTATCAAATTATACAATGGTTCCAATCTTTGCTAGTTATTGTACCTACTAATTCCTTAATTTAATTTGCACCACTATCTAAGTATGAAATATTATTTTTATAAATAGTTTTCTTCTTTCCTGGGACTCGGTCGTGCACTAAATTTATATTTTAATACCATATTTCCGATTGATATTTTTACATAACATTTGATTAATATTGTTTTTTGATATGATATTGTACTCTTTTACTTTCCTTCTTTGTTAAATCAAAATGTATATTGTTGCACCACTGGAGGCAGGTCTGAAAAGCCTTTTAAATTTGGTGGCTTCATTCAAGGACGATGCACATGCATGGTACCCAATGCATTTCAATAAGAAGTGAATAAATTAGCATATTATGCCATATTGAATAAGGTTTTAATTTATAGGTATTAATCTGATGGGTGTTATTCGAATCATTAAGTAATATAGTTGTTAAAGGTTTTTATGGTGTGATTATTGATGTAATTACGGAAGTTTACCAGTTACGTATTTGCATAATATTTGATTTCCGTTTCACCAGAAATTATGTATACATATTTGCCGCCAAGTAGAAGAAACTCTAGCAAAGCCTAGAGCTAGAACATCCAAGTTCTTCGAAGCAAAACATCTTGAAGAGGTCCTATTACGGTCATTTATTTACTGAGAGACCCAAATATTGATTCAGGCGGTAGGCTGTGCCAGTTAAAGAATTATCATCCAGGTACTCTATTGTTATTGACCACAGCTTCTCTATTGCCAATACCTACCTTGTTTGCACAACATCCACGCAGTCTGTATATCTGGGAGTCACCAGGCCGACAATATCGCAATCAAATCGATTACATTTTGGTTGAATTTGATCGAGGTCATCTATTAGTCTTTGTAAAACTTTACCAGGTTCCGAATGTGGCTCAGACCATCAACTTCTTCTTTGTGAGCTTCAGCTTAAGCTGAAAATATGTAGACGGTCTAAGCGGAATCTTTCAACCGAGATAATTGAACCTGCCTCTTTTCGATCAACATGTTCTCAGCTTTTTCGGAGTGCCTCGATAACGGATAAATCTCCTTCTAGTAGTATGTGGTTAATATTTAAAAATGTTCTAACACAAGCTAGGTACCCAAACAACTTAACCAAAACGCAGCACTCATCCTAAACAGTCATGGATTACCACCCATAGATTGTCCGCCATTGAGGTACATAGAGAGCTTAAGATCTCAGGTCTGGATTCTGATGCAAAGCACGATCGGTATAGATAATTAACACGTGAAATCCAAAGACTGCCGTCAAGATAAGAATTTAGGAATTATGCAGGGAGATACAGGCACAGGCTAATGCAGGCCATCCAGGTGAGATGTTAATAAAGATAAAATGTCTCTGTCTAGACTTTAAACCCAAAACTTGGTCATTTGAGGACGCCGATTGCCATCTCATCACCAGCTTGGGCGAAGTCATTGAGCTATAGCGTACATATTGTGAGAACTTTTATTCCGATGTTAACATTCAAGCCCTCTTGTTGAATTACGAACGTGAGCCGGATATTCTTTTTTCGGAAGTAGAACATGCCATTAGGAACCTAAAAGCTAAAAGCCGGTAAAGCGCAGGCATTGATGCCCTTTCTGCCGAAACTCTGAAGTGCTTGGATGATGACGGCTGACATTTTTAACATCGTATTTTTCAGAAAGTTTTGTCTCCGAAACCCAGACAATTATCGTCTACTCTCATTCAAGTCAAGGTTACCTATCCTGTATATTCTGCATTCTCGTTGGGGAGGTTTTGCGAACTGGCAAATATCTCCAGAGCTGGCAGGTTTCGTAAAGGGATGTGGTATGCGCGAACATATCTTGAGCTTGAGGCAGATTATTGAAAACGCCAGATAGCATTACTTTCCAGTCTATATCTGCTTTGTCGACCACTATACATGTATGTTTCATTTGACAACGTGAAGTGGCCTAAACTATGAAAAATTCTTCCCTTTATGGGAGTTTCTCACCACCTGATATTTCTCATACAATAGTAGCTCTATGAGTCCAACACAGCTCGGGTTAGAACTAACGGTAACATGGCTGATCAGACAACAATAAGAAAAGGAGTTCGTCAGGGATGTGTGTTATCGCCGATGTTCAAGAGTTCCGTATACAGCTCACTGAACTAACGTTTCCATATTAAGCGAACTCGGAAATACAAAACGTCTATCCTCCATTGGTTCAACGCGTATCCTGACGATCTCCGGCCATATCCATAGAAGTGATAATATGGAAAAAGTTGTTGTCCAAAATAATTGCTAGATGTTAGTGTCACAAAAGAAACCGAACTGAGAAATAGTCGCGAAAGATGGCGGAATGAGGTTTTCAAAGCAGTTGACAACGTGCGTGTCAACAATCCTCCAGTTCTGACTTAGTACATTTTATAAGTTCACGACATGTCTGGCAAGACATTGTGACTATGATGATGACAGTCTATTAGGTCGCACCTAAGTGCGCGTTCACATTGACACCGCTCGAGCGGTGAGTGCTGCGCGATGCCGCTGTAGTGATGCCCAAAAATAATTTTAAAATTATATTTCGAATGAACATGTTCACACTGGATCGGTGCGTCGCGCGATGTTAACATGTTCATTCGAAATATAATGTTAAAATTATTTTTGGGCATCGCTACAGCGGTATCGCGCAACGCTCACCGCTCGAGCGGTGTCAATGTTAACGCGCACTTAGGTTCAGAATGCCACTATATGTTCGTTTCATCCAATCCGTAATGAAGTCACTATTAGGGGAGATTGATTTAGCCGATACCTACTTGATGGAAATTCATTGCAAATTATAAAAGGCAAACAAAAAAGTCTCTAGATTTCCACGATTTTATTTAAATGATACCATTGGCGCCGGCAGCAGGGTGCAAGGGGGTGCACTTGCACCCCCCTGTCAGAAATACAATGAAAAAATTATTTTTATTTTATTATTATTTTTTTTTTAATAGTTACTGTTTGAAAAAATTGGCGAAACGACAAACGATGGCCTTCTCGCATTCTTTGTTGTTATAAATTTCTTTAACTTCTACGATTTGATAGCCCGAAAAACTAGGTATTAAATTGCGAGATGCCCGAGCCCAGGGGTCGATATATTACCGGGCAGTTTGGTGCGCCGCCCAGGAGCCCATGGCCCAATAGGGCCCCACGATGCTGCGCAATTCTATAAGGACTCAATTCCTATCTTCTAAAATATCATTGATCTAGCGCCCATGCCTAATAATATTCGTCGTCCAGGCCCCCCCCCCCTAGGCCGCCCCTCCAAAACTGTATTTTTACGTACAGAAAAATGTTACATAATGGCGTAGCGAACTATCTACTTCCATGATTTCATGAACATAAACGCTTTCGCGAGAAACTCATGACGTCATATTGAACGTAATTCGACGGAAGCATGGATGCAGCTTCTAGCAAAGACAATACCTTCTAGCCAGCGTTCAAACTCATGACGTCACAGACAAACTATGGTTCGTCGTTGGATGAACTACATTCGTCGCGAAAATTCGGTTTTAATCACCTAGAAAAACAAAATAACCTTTTTGGGGCGTGGCACTAGGAGACATTTTCGCGCCTCCGGCAGCTCCTGCGTCGGGCATTCACCTTCTTAAATTAGTAATTTGAACCAATATAATAATCCACGCGCCGCCACTGCCCGTCTGCACCTCCCTGAAACTAATCCTGGCGGCGCCCATGAATGATACCGTAACATGTTTCGTTTTAGCACATGGTGCTTTCTTCAGACAGAATAACTAAACTAATATGCATATATTAGTTCAGTTAAACTTTTCTGTTTCCTGTAAAAAAATGGTGGATTTCCATCAAGTACCTATCGGCTGAATCAATCTCTCTTGTTATCAAAGCTTCATCAAGCTTTTTAGCTCTGAGGTATTTCGAACTGGTACTCAAATACAAAACTTTGACTTCCAATCAAAATATTTGGTTTCTTAGTGAATGTGTCGGAGTATTTCCCAAATATATGCAGCTCAAAACAAACAACAACTCTAAATCAGCACTAGGGCAACAGTTCGGTCTGAAGAAATGGCTCAAATCAGATATGAAAATACAGTAGGTACCTACAACCAAAGAGACATAGGTATGTGATGTTTACATTAAAGTTATTTACGCATTTACGGCGAACTATGTTATTATAGACTACACCAAATCACCAAATAGAATTCGACACCTATACGATATACGTAGATGTTAGGGAAAAGTGCATAGAATAATAATAGACCGTAAGTTCTGTATCCAAAAATAAACTTCCCAAACTCATCAAAACATTAAGTAGGTATTAACAATTTTGTAACTACTACTGAGTTTACTGAAGATAAGTTTTTTGAGCGTTTTGTTAAAGCCCCACATTAATCTTATGAAAAACGGCTTTCGGTGAAATTATCTAAAATTTAGGATATGTTGTGCTCCTGGACATTCTAAACAAAAATTATCATTGGCACAAAAAAAATCAACGAGCCATTTCCGAGTTATGGTTGGTAATTTGGAAGATATCAGGTGCATATTGCAGTTCAAATTAACTTTTTTTAAAGGGTTTTTGGGGGACTTTATATTTATCATCATCTAGGTTAGAA